ACCACACAAAGCTTCTCAAAATAATGAAAACAAAAACTCAAACTCATGAAAAATGATCAACAAAAGCAAAATTTGCCAACCCAGTAGCTGCCTAGAGTGATAGCATTCACTTTGCTTTCTTAAGAAATTCTATTTTGTCTTCAGTAAGCAATGCACAATGTAAAGCCCATATTCTGGCAAGATGTAGCTTCAAGACTTTTACAACTCAGTTCAAAGAAAGGAGAAAGCAAAGCAATGTGGAGACTTGTGCCTTTATTCCACAAGAAATTCAGCCACAAAAATTCGCTTTTCATTCACATTTTTAATCTGTATTATTGCACTGATGAGAGTACTGCTTAGTGCGCAGTTGCTTCCCCTCCCCAAAAAACATCCCCGGGAACCAATCAAGGAACGCCCAGTACGGATATCTTCGATATTGCAAGGTTTTCTGCCGACCAGTATTCTATCACACTCGAGAAAAGTTTAAATCTCAAGCAATAAATATGCGATGAGAGAATAGAATGCGAGAAATGCGGAGATCCTCACAATAAAGTGTGAAGACGGGTCGCATAAATAAAAAAGATAATGCATTTCTGTGTAATCCTGTTAATTACCAGCACTAGCATGCTTAAGCAAAGCCGTCATTTAGCCCCGTACCATTCAGCTTGATTTACTTCCTCTGGAACGAAACTCCAATACTTTCAGTTTTTCCGCCTTTTCCTTATCGATAATGGTGAAACAGCGACCACGGGTAGGTTCCTCTGCGCTATAGTAATATCCTCTTATTCTTCTATTTTCTCGCCTTCTGAAAGAGCATGTTGGCTCCTTCAGCTTCAAAGACTGTGATGAAGGTATAGGATTTGTCATCAGTTGATCCATGAGTATGGAATTTAAATATTTGAATCCTAGTGTTAGCTGATAGCTAAAATTTTCGCTACTATGTCATTCGAAACATTATAACATAATCTACTGAATCTTGTGCGCTTACGATCGGCAATTCCATACTGACGACGCTGAACAGATATTTCTTTGAAATAAAAACCACGACCTCGTTTCGACGGATAATATTATATTGTTTCAAGAGTTTTGGCACCATAGCAGTAAAAACTAAATTTATTGACATGAAGTAGCTAAGACTACACGATTCTGGTATTGCTCAATTGAGCATTTTTCCGTGAACACTTGTTATACCACTTTCCAATACTTATTTTAAAACGCAGCTGTCATGTGAGCAGTTCGCTTGCTACTCCTGCACGAATGACGCGTAGGGTAAAATGCTGGTGAATCGGTGCGCATGATTTAATGGAGCATACTGTGAAGGCGTCGAGCGCGACTGATTACTCAAACCATACTTACCAGCTTTGAACGTCCCGAGCCACATCCTAGCTGTCTTTTCTGCAACCTTTTCATCACCTCAAGCTCAATTAATCTTGCACACCGCTTCACCTTCATTTTTCCCTACGGGCCAATCGTGCATCAGAAGCAAGCCAACTTGTTCCGAAAACAGCTTTATCTCCAACCAGGTTTGAGCAAGTTGTATAGCAAATTGGTCACAAGAAAATGCCACATTTGAACGATATCAAATTCAAATTTACTTGAACTTCTGGCAAATAAATTAAGTTTTTATTGCTCTAGTGTCAAAACTTCTGCACTGATCTACTACCACTAGAGAATACTGCTTCACTGCAATCTATGAGTTCTTTGGACTTTCGAGCTGCTTACACCATAAATTTATGTATTCTACAATTGTTTGAAATAGCACAGCGAATAAATGAAAGCAGAGCAAAAAGAAACAAATGCTTATTGAAAAGATAACAAATGGCTATACCTTTTAAGCTACTCAGTAATGGAATGAACGAAAATCCCAGATTCCATTTTTGATTTTTGGTCAATAAAACTTTCTAGAACAAATGCACTCATCTAGAAAACGGGTGTCTCAAACGCATATTGAGATATGAAATAACGAGATATGTGGAGAGAAAAGTAACCTAGAAAACTGTTTAGTCATGACATGAGACTCCTTCGAAAGATTGTTGTATGTATAATGTGCTTCAAATATGCCACAAAATAACACAGATACGATGCCCGAAAATGATATAAACGTGAATCATACCAAAAACATCGGTTTTTATGTACAAAAGCAGTGACAGAATAAAGGATAAAGTTCTCGGCGTTGATAAATCTCTAAGGGATGTGTCCCGTATTCGTCGTGATCCAGCATCGTTTGAAGAATTTGGATGCATATCTCTAGCCTTTGGAACAGCTCGCTGTGGCCTACCAATATATCAAAGCATCACTGGTAATATCTCAGACAAGTATGACACCAATTCACCGAACTCGGAGGGATAGAGAGTCAAGCAAGTCTAGAGCACTGAACATGGAAAAGCACTATCGTCCACCGATTGATCGACGACGTTTGTGTCTTAGAGCACTTTTAGCCACTGCGGAATGCGCGCTCCTTTTTACAAAAGTACGAAAATGAAAGGAAAGAAGATATCAGTTCGCTCCACAAGTTGTGGTACTAGAGCAATAAACACTAAATACTTTAATCAGAAGTAATTCAAATTACATGACTTTGGTGTACAACATGCCTATACTTGGTCTGAAATGGAGCTGTGGTGGAAACACATTCGTTTGCTACTCAAGGCACGAATGAAGCGCAGGGGGAAAATGCTGGTGAACGAACGCACAGGATTAATGGAGCTCTCTGTGGACGATTTAAACGCGACTGGTCCTCTAAACTGTTCCCTTCAGCGTTGAACTTTGTGAACACTTTCCATCCTCCTTTCTGCAACCGTATCGTCGTTTTAGGCGCCAATTTTGCGGGCCACTCTCTCAAGGGACATTCGTATGTGAGTAGTAAGCTAATCTCTAATATCATGCAGTTTCAATTATTTTTGGTTAATAAGTTTGGTGCTTAATCCTCTAAAGCCAGAATTCATGAAACGACTTAGAAAGAAATATCTCGCTATGATAAGCAATGGATGCCGCCTATGAAGCGACAAAAGCAAAGTCCTCCTAAAACTTCTTTAGCTGGCAAATTGATTGAGTCCTCTCTGATTTGCAAATTCTTATCCCTCATTGTTTCTTCTCTGGGAGTCGAACTATGGAAAGACTGTTTCAAAGTAGAACCCCTGTGAGCCCTGCTTTCCTCAAATCAACGAAAATATTCACTGAAGCGAGGACTCATAGGTACCGTCTAGCCACTTCTCTAGACATACGTTATCGGGTTAATCTCTAGAATCGAAGTGTCCAACGCGCTAGTGCTTGAAAACCAAAATATCTGATACTGACTTTGGATCATAGTTAGACCATCAAAGTCAGTAGGTATGAACAGAACAACTGATTGTATGATGCAAATAGAGATCTCATAGACGATAAAGCATACTTAAAAACATGAAAGGTCCAGGAAATAATCGATCCTGAGAGATGTGCAATGCTTTTGGCTTTATTCAAAGCATCGCCCAAGGTGACTGAATGCGTGTCTGGCTCACAGTGACTCGTTGGCCTACCAATGTATTAAGTCAGTTTCACTATTATCACAGCCAAGTCTGGTATCAGATCACCAACTTCAAAGTAACGGAAGATTGGTAAGCTTTTGAAGCGAGGTCGAACCAACGATCATCGATTGATCAAACAGGAGGTTGTCGCAAGTCACCTTCAACCATTGCGCCACACGAGCTATCAATTTTTAACTTCGTCTAAGGCGATTGAATGCGTATTTGGCTTTTAAAATGCCCCGCGGTGGCCTCCCACTGTATCGAGTCAATGCTGCTTATTTTTCAGACAAGTCTCAGCCCAATCTGTTGCCAATTCACCGACCACGGAGGAATTGATAGTTTGGTGAGCCTTGAGCGCACGATCGAACCACCGACCTTGTATGTGACGTGGAGCACCTCTAACCACTCTTACGCGTACTACTGTATAGCATATACAGTGGAAAGCACGCTACCTGTTACTCCTTGAACTTCTCCAAGTAGAAATGAAATATAAGATGCAAGCTTGAAGAGGCTACTCTCATGTAAGAGGTACTATGCAATTGCAGTCATCTTCGTCATAAGTGCATTGCCACATCCAAGGAGTGAACCCAAAATCAGAGAGACTACAAAGTATAAAATTCCTTCCTTCGCATAGAGCAAATCAAATCAATTATGGAACTATCGAAAAGCACAGGCGAATTTTCCTAGCATAAAAATCAATTCGTTTGATCCAGCATCGCTTCCAGCCGAAAAGTTATCAATGGTACTGGAAGAGAAAACACATAAAAACTGCAACATAGCAAAATTTGGATAATTCTGTACACATGAACGATAAAGAGTCAAAGCTCATAGCAGTGATCAAGCCCTGAGGGATGGGCCCTGCATTCGTCATCTACAATCCTATCAGATGACTGAATGCAAATCTGGCCTTTACAATGTTTCGCGGTGTCCTGACGATATAACAAGTCAGTGCTGCTCTACCCTCCCAAACAAGTCTAGTATCAGTTAATCAATACCGGAAATATGAAAGAATTGGTAAGCTTTGAGGGCGAAGTCGAACCCTCGACCACCGACTAATCGACCACGTGTATGTCGTAGAGCACCTTAAAACGCTGCGTCACACGCGCTTTTATATGAACACAGTATAGATAATTACTTAATGCAAAGAATGAAGTTGATCACATCATATTTTACACTTTGCGAGATATTGTTAACTTGCTACGATTTTCTTGATTCCTCAAGAATCTCTTCGGAGGTGTTCACAAAAGGTCGCCAGAGGCTATCGATGACTCGTGGTGAGCACAAGGTTTGCCATTTAGGACCAGGCTTTAGCAAAAGTGAGGCCAATTCTAGCTATACATGAATGTAAACACCCAAAATTCTCACATAAGTGGTCATCCTAAACCGGAAAAACAATGCTTAGAACAGCTGTCAGCTCAACTGCGTTTGTGTAGCGAAATTGCATACCCGACCAAACCTGTCAAAGGTTGGTGGCTGATAGCTAATTTTGAGATGTTGAAGAATGAGTGGTCGAGCAAATGTGCCTCAGTGGTGTAGTGGTAGAGCACGCGTCCCCGTATGGGATGGAACGTGGGCCCGATTCCCGCCTGAGGTCGTGTTTTTGCTCACCACTTAATTCTCTTAGGAATCAGCGATAATGGTAATGATAATGGCAGCGAAAGTAGTAGCAATATTGTAGTGATAACGATAGTGAAAGTGATAATGATGGTGATGACAATGGTGATAATGATAGCGATAGTGATGATAGTGGTATGGATGATAGTGATAGTGATTAATGATAACGATGATGATGATTATGATAGTGGTAATGGTAATGACATACTGACAGTTATGATAGTGGCAGTGATAATAGTGATAATGGCAACAATGGTAATGATGGCAGTGATATTGATTAGTGCTAAGGATGATAATGATGGTAGTGATAGTGACGGTGACAGTGATAGTGATAGTGACAGTAATAGTGACTGTGACGGTGATACTGGTAGTGATGCTATAGTGATAGTGACAGAGACAGTGGTAGTGAAAGTGATGGTGATAATGATGATGATAGTGACAGCTTTCCTGTAAGTGGTTGTTCCTACTCAGGGCGTACTCCCTCGCACTCCTGCACGTAGTGTATGTACGTAATTCTTGTCACTCTCAATTTTCCTACGATCTCAATCACTTACCGAGGCGGCGGAGTGGAATGAAGGCGCTTGCTGTAACAGAGCGCAGGCACAACGGCAGTTCACACGAGGACCCATATGCACCGGCAGGCGAGCGTCGCAAACGCGACGGCGCGATGCCTCCTGCCTATCAACGGTGGGCGCCAGAGTGTTAACAACCGTAAGCCATGCAGTTGACAATCAATCAATCTGAAAGAACGCCGCGTTGATTCTTTCATAGTAAGTTTGGTGTGCAAAGTTCGGCAACGATGCAGCTACATAACGGATATGTTCCGAACGAATTGACTAAACCGAAAGGACCATGATATTGATGAGGCTAAAAGCGATATATGTTACCAAGCACTTCATGGGTGCCGCAACAGACCACATGATGGGCTCAAATCATATCGTCTGGGTGTAATAAATTTGAGCGAGGTATCAAAGTCGATTGAAAGGTATTCAAACAGTCTTCAAAAACTCTGTAGGATCATTGCATAATTTCATAATGAGCCTAAAGAATTTTTCGAAAGTAAACAAACGAATTTTCTGAAGAAAATGAAGACAAACTTTGAAAAGTCAAGGATTCGATGTTCATAAGTTCTGTGTTTCCAATCAACTTAAAAGAAAGACATCTGAGCTAATAACGATTTTCCATAATTGAAGGAAAACCCGCTAAAATCCTTGTAATTTTGCAAACATGTTTAGTTATTCTAGCTATATGGAATCCTAACTCTATCACATAGATACTCAATGCTATCTCGTAAGTCATTCTGCCTGAGAATCTTGCAGTTCATATTATAATATTTCTCAAAGCATGCGGTGATGCGAATAGGAGTGGCGTGGGCCGAACACGTTGGTCAGTGGTCCGAACCGCAGTCATGCCTCACCAAGCCTTCCATCCCTCAAAGTCGGTAAACTGGCAGCGGACTAGCCTAGGAGAATAGCAGCATTGGCTCGATATTCCAGTAGACCACCGTAAGTCATTATGAATGCCGGAGATGTGAATTCAATGACCATAAGCGATACTCAAGCCTTAAGGGAGGACTTATACCAACCAGGTACACGAATTTTGAAGGCCTTTCTCGCTGCAGAAAAGTTTCCCTCAAACTTTTGGTAATCATTTGTAAGCTTACATCTGTGCGAATCCAAAAACCTGTTTAGCATTAGGAAGAGCCTTTTATTACTTTGCAACAGCGAAAATATTATTTTTCACACTCAAGTTTCTTCATTTGACCGGCTGGGGCCGCTATATTAATAGGTGAAATTTATAATTCAGAGAAGCCTTATCGTTACATAAAAATGGAGTATCACGAATGAACTTTTTGTAAAGATTTCTTGACACAAAGAGTGACTACTCCTCTTGCAATCCTTCATTTTTCGGCGGTAAGACCACATCCTTGTTCAAAGTAAGCTCTCAATCCCTATTGAACATAGCATCGCCTGTCTTGCGAGAACGCAGTTTGAAAACACATCTTCTACGATTGAACATCTCCAAGTGGGTTTACGTGGAGGTATTTCTAATATGTAGCTCGACTGAGTGTAAGAAGAGCGGGCGTTCATCATTGCGCACAATGCGTTACTTTCCCTATCAGCACCCATATTCGAAAAACGTATTTTTAGCTCTTTCTACTCTTTCTAAACAGTTTAGTAGTTAATCGATAGCTAAATCACGAAAATTCTAAAGAAACTGCATTTCTTGAAAGGTCTCGATATTACACTGTAACAGCAAAAAGATTATGTTTATAAACACTTGAGCATCTATCGATGAGCAACGCTTTTCCATAGAAAATCCAGTAGTTTTTCGACAGCACAAATCTCGGCAAATTTAACTTAGAAATTTTAAGGATATGGTCAGTTTTTGAGGTAGACTTTTCAGCTCGTCGTTACAGCTAAAAGAACATTGAACTTAACACAAAGCGCAATCGATGCATATGTAAATTGAGCTGCGCAATCGACACGGCTTAGAGTGCGAAACTCAACGATCTTTCAGCTGTAACAGCACAATAAAAGGTCCTTCTCAAGAAACAAACTTGTCATTGAAATTGCTCAGGTTTGTGCTATCGAATGGTTAATGAAAATCTGAATGGAAATCTAAGTACAGCGAAAGATGCTTGAGTATGAAAGAAAAATTGGTATTTGTGTGTTAAGCGATGACAAATTTTTAAGCCACTCTCATTCACTGAACAGGCAATTCTCATAGAAGTATTTGTAGTTATTCGAGAGCTCAAATCTTTGCCTGCAACAATACATTGCCGGTTTTTAAAAAACACCCTTCTATAACCCTGTGGTATCCAGAAAAAAATTTATTTCTCACTCTCATTTCGCCTTCACTTTCACCATGAGTATAAATTGCTATAGACACGAAAAGCATGTCAGGATGTACAGAATTTTCCGTTGTGTCAAAATCACGCCTTTTCATTCAAAGTTTCTGTCGATGCGAAAAAAAAAATCTCAATAATAAAACAATAGTTGCTGCCGTTTCAGCGCTTGCGACAGGTCACTGTCGGGTTGCGAGGTAGTTCGGGCGATTATCTTACCAACAATTCGTTAGTGTGTCTTCCCTTCACCTTGTTCTCAGCTATGAACCGTTTCCACAAATTCATGAAGCGGCTGAACAACAATCACGTTTGAAATATTGTTACCTGATTTGGGATTTTCCACCACATTGACAGAAAAATGATAATACACGCTGTATTCAGTACTAGTTCCCCTATAAATCTCACTCTAACTAAGTTTAAACCAATCATTGGTTTATTTCCAATTATTCAGCTTTGAGGTAGCGAGAAAAGGTGGAGTACTTATGGATAGCAGAAAAATTCTGAGCGATAAGAGGCAGCCATGTTTGAAAAAAAGGCTTAGAAAATTGACATTATGCAAACTATTAGTCAGAAATATGTGCCTACAAAAAATTATTCTAGGTGCTTCTCTCCATCTCCATCTATATTCAACTAGAGCATTTTTAATATCCTTTTATTTTTGTTGTGAATTATTTATTGTTTTCAATTCTTATTCACTATTATGACTCTTCGGTCATGTATAAAATTGTGATAAATCAAACCAGGGTTTTTTGCTGTAATCACCTGTATCACCTGTCGTCCCGTTGATCGTCGAGTGACTCGAGCGGGTACCAGCAACTCTTCCATTTTTCCCTATCGCGTGCAAGAGTAGCCCAGTGGGTCCTCCTTGCTCTAGGAATTCGCTGAGCATCATATCTTTCTTCCATCGCTTTCGTGAAGAAATCGGACCAACGGGTCAGTGGTCTTCCTTTAGAGCGCTTAACGTCCCGAGGAATCCAGTCGGTAACGGCTCTCGTCCATCGGTTGTCGTTGAAGCGCATCACGTGTCCGGCCACCTTATTTTCGATATCCTGGCGTGTAGAACGGCGTCTCTGATTTTCGATCGTTGACGTAGGTCGGAACTTCGGATCCTTTCTCTCATTTGCGAGATACGAGATACTCCTAGCATCGACCTTTCGACTGCGCGTTCGATAACGGCAAGTGATCTTTCATCCTGCTTACGTAGCGACCAGGTTTCTGCTGCATACGTTAGGGCAGGGATAATTGTCGAGTCGAAAAGGTGGGCACGGAGTCGGATGTTCTTTGTCCTCTTCACTACATCTTCGATGCTCTTAAACGTTCCCCAAGCCGCTCGTTTCCTCCTGCTCAATTCTGGGGCTAGGTCGTTCATCATGTTGATTTCACGACCTAGATAGACTGTAACTGGAGCATTCGGAGATTGTCGTTCCGTTGAGCGTGAATGGGGCATTAGAAACCCATCCGTTCCTCATGAACATTGTTTTCGTTAGATTCAGTTGAAGACCAATCTTTCCACAGGCGTTATCGAAATCAGTCAACATTCGTTCCGCTTGGCTGATGTTTGGTGTTATGAGAACGATATCGTCAGCAAAGCGAAGATGGTTTAATTGTCGACCGTCAATTTTCACTCCCATTTCGTCCCATTCTACTGTTCGCATGACGTTTTGTAGGGTGGCAGTGAATAGTTTTGGCGATATTGTATCGCCTTGTCGAACACCTCTTCTTACGTCAATGGTGATATTGTTGTAGAATGGAGATATTTCGGTCGTGAAATCTTTATGAAGCTCACGAAGGATCATTATGTACCGAGTAGGGACGCCCTGGTTATCCAGAGCCTCTATAACCGCTTCTGTTTCCACTGAATCAAAGGCTTTCTTCAGATCGATGAAAGTGAGACAGAGTGGTTGTTTGTACTCTCGTGAAACTTCAATGAGTCTTGTAATCGTGTGGATGTGGTCCATGGTACTAAATCCTTGTCGGAACCCTGCTTGTTCGCATGGCTGTCCTTCGTCCAGTGTTCTCTCAATCCTGTTTAGGATGACTCGAGTAAAGAGTTTATAGACAGCGGACAGCAAGCAGATTGGGCGATAATTGCCTATGTCGTGTAGGTCTCCCTTTTTGAACAACAATACGGT